CCTTTCAAGTACTAGGTTCTAGACTAGGAAGTCAGACCATGGTAAAAAGCAGACAGCTAGCATTGGTCTTATGGAATGGAAGGGCTAGGAAGAGAGAGGTATCACATGGGAACCTAGGGATGGTAGCCAGTAGACAAATGGTCAGAGAAGAGCAGTGGGTACAGAGAGGCCATGGGAAGCAGTCGCTGGGACTTCCATGTACCAGGGGAAGAATAGGAGACAGGAAAAGAAAGTACAGCTGAGAATAACAAATGCCATTTGAGTGATTCATCCATCATAGCAACCTCACTGGAATTGGCCTACCAGCATGTTCCCTAATGGGAGCTGGGATTAACCTCCAAAAGTCTCTGGGCCTTCATCCACAGTATAGGAGGAAGGTCCTGCAAGTGTCATGGGCTGCCCTGTAAGTCAAAAGGGCAGATATAGGCCAGACTTTGCCAGAGGTGTGAGCCGGGTTGGGGTGGAGTGTTTTCTGAGCTTGGAGAAGCCTTCCTTCACCCATGCAGTGGCCAAGCAGGGTTGTTCCACAGGTCTTCGACGTTCAATCTCTGCTGGACCCATTGGAAGAAGAGCCTCCTGTCTGCACCATCCTCCCTGTCAGTTTGACTTTCAAGGCCTGCTGGGCCCCAGTCGAGGCAGCCAGGCTGATTGTGATGCACAGAAAAAATTGTGATTGCACACAGATGATGGTCACTACCTTTGAGTTAAAGGCGGATAAGTCCAGGGGTAGAGTGAACACTCTGGGTAAGGTCCCCATGCTGGCTGCTTTCTGTGGGTCGCCATCATTGCAGTACAGTGCTTCCTGAGCAGTTTCCTCACCTTTTCTTTTTCTTTGGGCCATTTTTCTTCCCTCTCATGGAAATATATGCAGAAGTTCTTTGATTGTATACACTGGTTCAGTGATGAGCACTTGCTAAATGTTGAAGAACCTAGTGTGCTTTGGGGATTCAGGCAGTAAACAATGTCCACCTCTACTCTCTTTCCCTCCTTACTGATCTTCATGCCTCTGTTCATTCCTACTGTCCCAAATAGGTTCAAAGACCCAGTTCTCAGCACTGAATGCAAATGTGCATGTGTAAAAGCTAGAACACTTGTCTTTAAGGCATTCCTGGTCTAGTAGGAAAACAAATTCCACAACCTTCCCCACTCTACTATTTCCTAAACCTCACATTATCTGACAGGACTTCTCTTTGATCCTTATCATTTTTCCCTTTTATGTATTCATTTGTTCTCACGTCATTTGACCATAAATTTTACTCTAAGCTTCCTGACAGCTGAGAAAAAAAGGGAAATGCGATGTGTAAAATACCCCTTGTCTGATACAAGAAAACACATGAATTCTTCACAAGAGGTAATTTTTTTCCTGGTATAAATGAGTAGTGCTATACAGTATGAAGGACAATCTCTTCAATAGTAGTTTTTGGCAGATGTCATAATTTTCATTGTAGCAATTTCTTCTTCTTTTTTGGTGGTACTGGGGTTTGAATTCAGGGGCCTTGATCAATGTGGTCATTTCTTATATCATCCTTAGATGGGAAAGGGAAAAAGGCAGGCAAGAGCCTGTTGTTTGCTAGATGCTGTGCTAATCACTTCACAAGCCAGATGCTATGAATCATCACATCTGACTGTGAATGCAGTATTGTAGCCAGCATTTTGTAGCTGATGAATTGGTATGTAGTAAATGCATGGGCAGGGTTGAGTATAGAGCTGTGAAACCTTCACTCTTTGTAGTGTATCTCATCACCACGGGTGAGGTATAGACCTATTCAAGAGAAGCAATCTATGTATTTTTATCCCCAAAGTGCAACAGATTGTCAGTTTCTCTTTGCGGGACACCATGATGCCTCCTCACCTCATGCAAAGCCATGGCTCTCAGGTGATCCTGCTGGCCTGTGGCTCAAAGCTGGTGCTATTCACCATATATGGCCACCATTTGACAACCTTCCAGGACCACCAGAGATCCATCACATCCTTGTGGGTAGTAAGTACAACGCCTCCTGCTTGTAATATGCCCTCTGCCCTTTGACCTCAGTAGTCTATATGTCCTCATCTAACTTAACTTCATTTTATAAGGATGCAAACCAAGTTATCACCTCCTCCTTGGACCTCTCTTTGCGCATCTACACATGGAATAAGGAAAATAAAATCCCGGCCCTCAGGAGCTGCTATCACTTGCTTGGAGGATCCCACAGATGGGCCAAGTAATTGATTGTTTTCCTTCACTTAGCCCCAAAAATGGCAAAGCAGTATTGATTTGCTTGTTTGAAAGCCCAGGTTGGCCTTGAACTTCTTGTCTCAAGAGATTCTCTGGCCTCATTCTGGGACTATAGGTGTGTGCCACTGTATTATGTCTCTCAGCAGGTTTTTTTTTTTAAAGAAATGCTAAAAGGGTAAATTAATGATAAACCCAGCCTACTGCCTATTAACTTGGTCCTGAGACCAGCCACTGCTCATACTGTATTTCTCCTGTTTAAAAAAAATGAGGGGCTGGGAAAGTGGCTCAGTGGTAGAGTGCTTGCCCTGCATGCCTGAAGCCCTGGGTTCGATTCCTCAGCACCACATAAGCAAAAAGAAAAAAGCCGGAAGTGGCGCTGTGGCTCAAGTGGTAGAGCGCTAGCCTTGGGCTGAAATCTGAGGGACAGCGCCCAAGCCCAGAGTTCAGGCCCCACGACCGGACCAAAAAAAAAAAAAAAAAAAATGAGATTGTGCTGGGATCCAGTGGCTCACACCTGTAATCCTAAATATGCAGGAGACTCAGATAAGGATTGTGGTTTGAAGCCAGCAGGAAAGTCTGAGAGATTTCTATCTCCGATTAACCAACAAAAAGCCAGAAGTGGAGCTGTACCTCAAGGAATAGAGCATCAGCCTTGATCAAAAAAAGTTAAGGGACAGTGCCCATTCCCTGAGTTCAAGCCCCATACAAAATGATGAGATTGTTAGTTCTAGCTACATATTGTATATATTATCTCCTGTAATATACAAAGCTACCACATGTAGTTAGCATTTCCCATGTTGTACAGTTGATACTGGCTGAGAGATAGATATGTTTTATCTCTCAGAATGTATGAACAAGCTGAACTTGAATTTTAAAAGAGTCAAACTTAAGAAAAATTACTCTATTCATGAGCTCCTAAAGTTATTACATCTCTTTCATTCAAGAGAACAGTGAGATTACAGGAGTTGATAAGTAATTCTATGTGCTAGGGAAATGATTCCAACTTGGCCAGATTAAACTAGGTGCTTTTAATCAGACGTTTCTTAAAAGAGCTAGAACCACTGTGATCCAGGCAGCTGTTGTTATTATCAGTAGGCCCATGTATTGATATTCCTATGTTAGGATGCTATGATGTTTACCAGTCATAACAAATTAATTCAATTCTTTAAAACAGCTCAGAATAAACAAGGGCTATATGGAGTTGGCTAGGTGAGAAAAGGTACAGAAAACTGAACTATGTCTTCATGTAAAAGCACTTATTGCTTAAATGTTTGCCCTTTTTTCATTTGCCAGTCCTGGGGCTTGAATTCTGGGCCTTGGAGCTGTCTCTGACTTCATTTACTCAAGACTAGCACTCTACCATTTGAGCCACAGTGCCACTTCCAGTTTTTTCTAAGTAGTAGCTTATTAGAGATAAATAGTCTCAGACTTTCCTGCCTAGTCTGGCTTCAAACCACAATCCTCAGATCTCAGCCTCCTGAGTAACTTGGATTACAGGTATGAGCCTCCAGCTCCTAGCACATTTGCCCTTTTCTAAGATTAATACCTGACATGTCTTTTCTCTTTACAGTGGATTTATCCTTGTGAAAAGTGATAGCAGGAGCATTGCGGCTGTGGAAGACAGAAGCAACGGAATAAGTATTCTGAGGTCATATTGCTTTAAAGTTCGGCATAACTGAAAGTTATTTTATCAGTTGAAGAGTTTCTCATTGTTGGTAAAGAGCTTGCATGCATACAAAGACTAAGTTATGTTATCCACATTGGGAAAGTAATTAGTAGTTCTCAGAGGCCTGTTCTATACCAAATGCATTGTGCTCTGTGACTTGACTTCTCACAAGAAGCCAATGAAATATGTGCAATAAATAATGACGTTTGTTTTTCTGGAAAATGAGATTCAAAAGGGGGTGACTAGACATTCTTAGTCCCATTTTCTTGTTGCTGACTAACTTAAGATTTTTAAGTCCTAAGTGGCAAACAATTTGAATGTTTGACTATTGGGAAGCTATTATTATTGTAAAGTTATTAGAATTGCACTGTTGTTTTTGTTATCCAAATATGTAATTAACTGAGTAAAATATTTTTTATCTTTCTATTCTGTTATGCGTAGCTCCTGCTATCACATAGGTAATTTTTGTGGGACCATGCATATAACTCAAGAACTGCCATTTTTATTTTTATTTATTTATTTGCCAGTCCTGGGGTTTGAACTCAGGGCCTAGGCACTTGTCCTTAAGCTCCTTTTGCTCAAGGCTCTGCCACATGAGCCACTACTAAGCCACGTTCCCAGCCCTGTCGGTCATGGGGCTTGAACTCTGGGCCTGAGTGCTGTCCCTGAGCTCTTCAGCTCAAGGCTAGTGCTCTACCACTTGAGCCACAGTACCACTTCTGGTTTTCTGGTGGTTAATTGGAGATCAGAGTCTTATGGGCTTTTCTGCCTGGGCAGCCTCCTTAGTAGCTAGGATTACAGGCATGAGCCACTGGCACCCAGCAAGCCCTGCCACCTTTGTGTCCTTGGTGTCCCCTGAGTTAGTCAGCATGGAACCCCTGGTTGACTTAGTGGGCATGTTACACAGAGGTTTTTTTTGTTTTTGTTTTTTGTTGGTCATGGGGCTTGAACTCAGGGCTTGGGTGCTGTCCCTCAGCTCTTCAGCTCAAGGCAAATGTTCTACCACTTGAGTCACAGTGCTACTTCCAGTTTTCTGGTGGTTAATTGGAGATGAGTCTCACAGACATTCTTGTCCCGGCTGGCTTTGAACCTCCATCCTCAGATCTCAGCCTCCTGAGTAACTAGGATTACAGGCGTGAACCACTGGCGTCCAGCGTTACTCAGAAGTTCTAACTGCAAGCAATAGGGGCTGCCACTGACTGAAACCAAGAAAGCAACTTATTGGAAGACAGTGCCATACTCCATTGGCTTCATGGGAAGGCTGAAAAAAAGGACAGACTTAGGGCATCAGGCAGCAGGAGACAGTCAAGGTGCTTCCTCCAATTGGTCTTGGCTCAGTGGTGTCATCACCATTCCCTTGAGCTCTATCCATGCTACCACTATGTTGCTTATCTCATGTCATTGAACAGGGACCAGGAAACTTCCCCATTTCTCCAGGGGGAAGGGGTTCAGAATGCTTATATAAGTATGTGTGTGTACATGCATGCACATGTTTATGTTCATACACATGCACTTGTGTGTGCCCACATGCCTGCACACATTTATGATTTGCTGTATCTACTTAGCTCAGGGGCCTACAACATTGAGGCCAAGTGGGAGAAGACAGGGAAAATCTGACTCCTTCAGCTTCATTAATAGATACTCCTGACCAATGTTTGCAGAGTACAAATTTCTTCAAAAATAGGAAAATTTTCTCAGGATTAGAAATTAAGGATTAAAAAGCTGTTTACATGAGTCTACTTTGTGTATTGTCCTAGTGTGCCATTTCCTAAGTTAGCCCTGTTAATGTAGATTTCTCCTACCACAAAATAGCAGCTGGACCCTGCATATCCATGGCTGGGGTAGAGAGAGTCACTACTTAAAGTCTGTGTTTTCTCTTGAAACTATCAGAGTAGTTTTCCTGAAGGTCCGTCTTAGATGTCCTAAGATTGGCTTCATAAGTGGTGAGGATGATCAGGACTGAAGCATTCCAATAGCAGTGGAGGAGAGAATGTAGGCAAACAGAGGTACAAACTGGCACAGATAACACAGCACAGCAAGAGAGATGAGAGCTGTCATACTCAGATGAAGGGAAAATTTGGAAAAGTTGAAAGTGCTGGAGTTTTTGCTGAAGAAATAGCAGAAGGCATATTAGAGATCTAATAAAGGAATGTGGCTATCCCAGTTCCTTCTGAGAGGCTTAGACCCTGAGTCTGAGGGGCAGGGATACAGTTCTCTTAGGTGGGAGGTTCCTTGGTGAGAGGGGATGATCAGAGCCAGACCCATCCTCCCTGGGAGGGTGTGTGACCCAAGAACATGTGCAACTCTATATGAATCCCTGACCTGGGGCTTTGTGGCAGCTGAGTAAGGGCAGTCTTGTTTGGAACACAAGAAGTTAGTATGCTGTCTGACATAAACTCTTCCCAGGACAACATGGTCCCTGGGATGTGGTGCCCTTGTTCCAGGAAGAAGTACTTGGAGAATGTACCAACTACAAGTTCAAAAGGTTGCTTCCGTGGCATTCAGCAGGTATTGCTACACCTGGACAATGTAAGAAAGGGCCCACTGAAGTCTGCAGAGTCCCGTAGCAGCATGCAGAAGACTGGGGAGCCTTCCTCAGGCCCTCCCATTAACCAAGTTCGAAATAAGAATGATTACCACTGTAATTAAGTAGTGCTTTGGAAGGTAATCAGTCCTGATCATCTTCACAACCTAACACATGTAGGACTTCTATTTACCATTATTTCTATGTAGCATTTATTTCCAAATCCAAAGGAAATTTAATTACCAAATAGGAATTCACCTTAATTAGTTAATAGTTTATTTACATTTTAATATGTGTAATAAAAATTGTGGGTTGCAGCCGGGCGCCAGTGGCTCATGCCTGTAATCCTAGCTACTCAGGAGGCTGAGATCTGAGGATCATGGTTCAAAGCCAGCCCGAGCAGGAAAGAGCAGGAAAGTCCGTGAGACTCTTAACTCCAATAAACCACTTAGAAAACCGGATGTGGTACTGTGGCTCAAGTGGTAGATCTCTATCATTGAACTGAAGAGCTGAGGGACAGCGCCCAGGCCCAGAGCTCAAGCCCCATGACCGACCAAAAAAACCCCAAATTGTGGGTTGCAACACTGCCAACACTTTGCTGTGTCTCCGTGAGTCTAAAGCAAAATTTTAGGCTTGTAGCCTAATATGTGGAGAAGCAAAGGAGGGCAGCATAGATGGAGACAAAGTGAAATCCAGGAATATTGAACTTTAGCCCTAACAGAGTGCTAAGAAAAATGGTAGAAAGAAATCCTGAAGAGTCAAATAAGAGAAAATAGCTGCAAAAAAGAGAAAAGTCTAGGGAAAGCTCCATGGCTACTCATACTGACAATCTGAAAAAGCAGAGTTTTAAGAAAAATCTGCATAATATGTAGCAAGGAGATTCCAGAAAGGGGGCACCTACAGTCCCTAGTTTTCCTACTAGTGCTTTGAAGATTAATTATCATAGGAGAGGTCTTTTTTTGGGGGGTGGGGGGTCCGGTTGTGGGGCCTGAACTCTGGGCCTGGGCGCTGTCCCAGCTCTTAAGCTCAAGGCTAGTGCTCTACCACTGAGCCACAGCGCCACTTCCGGCTTTTTTCTTTTTGCTTATGTGGTGCTGAGGAATTGAACCCAGGGCCTCAGGCATGCAAGGCAAGCGCTCTACCACTGAGCCACTTTCCCAGCCCCAGTAGGAGAGGTCTTATAGTCAAACATCTTAGACAGGATAAACAGAAGATGCTACTCGTGTGTGTATGTGTACGCACCTGCATACATGCATGCTGGATCTGGGGCTTGAACTCAGGGCGTGGGTGCTGTCCCTTAGTTTTTCTCTCAAGACTGGTACTCTACTACATAGGCTAAAGCTCCACTTCTGGCTTTTGGTGGCTAATTGGAGATAAACATCTCATGGACTTTTCTGCCCAGACTGACTTTGAACTGTGATTCCTTAGGTCTTAGCCTCCTGAGTAGCTGGGCTTACAGGCATGAGTTACCAGTGGCTGGCCAAGATGTCAGATTTTTTTTTTAAATCACCAAACCACAGGCATCCCTGCTCCACAGAACCACTCTGGGAACCAATCTGGAACCAGAAAACTGACGGTGACTTAGACTTAGACATAGATCTTTGTGGGTGGGAAGTATGTGTCACAAACAACATTGCAGAAAGAAATTGAGGAAAACATTGGCAGTCTATAGTCTGAACTCTGGTAAGAGAAGAATAACCATCTGTATGTGAACACAGGCTGGGGTGCAAAGACAGAACTGTGGTGCCATGGAATTCAGGCTCTGTGAAAGACCTGTGCCTGACACACCAGCACAGACTGCAGGAATACAAGAGGGCAATAAATGGTAAGGAAAGAGGTCAAACCCCACTGGGCTTGACTGCTTTGAACACTCCCAGAAAGCTAAAGAGTTTGGTGGAAAGTAGCCATGTTTGGAAATTCGCCACATAGGAATCAACTCAGCAAAGGAATAGTACTTACTGGTATAAGTTGTTTCGACTTTGGAGAAAAAGAAAACAAAAAATGTACAATGAAAAAGACAAGGGTGTGTGTGTGTCTGTGTGTGTCTGTCTGTGTGTGTATGTATAAATCATCCTCTTAGCAAGGAAGAAGTCTTGACTGCTTTTTAAGAAACAGTTGTATGGGTAATGAAGATGTGGCTCAAGTGTAGAATGCCAGTGAAAGACAAGAGTGAAAGGCCCTACATTCAACCCCAGTACCTGCACTAAATCAATCAATCAGTAGCTATCAGTATAAAGATGTTCCTCCTTATTATTATTACTTTTTTTTTTTTTTGGTCGGTCATGGAGCTTGAACTTTAGATGTGGCACTGCCCCTGAGCTGCTTTTGGCTCAAGGTTAGCGCTCTACCACTTGAGCCACAGCAACACTTCTGGTTTTCTGGTGGTTAATTGGAGATCAGAGTCTCATGGACTTTCCTGCTCCGTCTGGCTTTGAGCCGTGACCCTTAGATCTCACCCTCCTGAGTAGCTAGGATTATAGGCGTGAACCACTGGCACCCAGCTTCATTACTATTTCTTATTCTTTTATCCTGTGTTTGTTTCCTCTTTTTTAGCTTGCCTCACTTTCTTTCCCCATTCTTTTTTATTACTTAATTATTCTTTGTGTGGTACCGGGGCTTAAACTCAGGACCTGAGTGTGTTATCCCTTAGCTTTATCATTCAAAGATGGCATTCTACCACTTGAGCCACAGCTCCACTTCCAATTATGAATAGTTCTAACTTTAATGTTTTTTCTCAATCTGTAAATGGAATCTTTTTTTTTTTTTTTTTTTTTTTTTTTTTTTGGGTCCCATCATGGGGCCTGTACTCTGGGCCTGGGCGCTGTCCCTCAGATCTTCAGCTCAAGGTTAGCGCTCTACCACTTGAGCCACAGCACCACTTCCAGCTTTTTTCTTTTTGCTTATATGGTGCTGAGGAATAGAACCCAAGGCCTCCGGCATGCAAGGCAAGCGCTCTACCACTGAGCCACCTTCCCAGCCTTGTAAATGGAATCTTAAATCTAGCAGAAGTGGTTATACTTATATTGAGCCAAACAGACTTCAGAAAAAAATATATAGCACTGAGCACAGTAGCACATACTGTAATCCTAGTTATTCACTTGTCAGAGATCAGTGAATTGGTTAGAGGCCAGCCCAGGTAAAAAAGTGAGACACTCATGTCAACAAAAGTGGCTAGTCATAATGGTGCAGTCCTATATTCCCAACTACGGGAGACACATAGGTAGTAGAATCATAGTTGGAGGCCAGCCCTTGGCAAAAAAAAAAAAAAAAAAAGACCATATCTAAAAATGTAGCTAAAATGAAAAGATGCTAAGAGTATGACTCAGGAGGTAGAATATCTGCTTAGCAAGCACAAGGACCAGCGTTTAAACCCAATTACAGCCAAAAAAGAAAAAAAAAATACTGTAGAAATAGACAAGTCACAGCCAAGCAGCCAATGCACATGCCTGCATTCCTAGCTACTCAGGAAGCTGAGGTTTGAGGATTGCAGTTCGAAGCCAGCCCAGGCTGGAAAGTCCATGAGACTCTTTATCTCCAATAAACTATTTTGAAAAAGCCAGAAGTGACATTATGGCTTAAGTGGCAGAGTGCTAGCCTTGAACAAAAGAACTCAGGGACAGAGCCCTGGCCCAGAGTTCAAGCCCTAGGACTGGGTGGGGGGGAGGGGAGGAATAGACAAGTTCACTATGTAATGATCAAGGGAAAAGTTAATTGAAAAATTTATATAGTAATTATAAATCTTTATGTACCTAATGTCATAGCACCCAGTTTGATAAACACTACTAGACATAAGATCCAGTACAGTGATTATAGGGAATTCAATACCCTACTCTTACCAATTGATAGATCACCAAAGCAAAAATATCAACAAAGAAATATCAGTTATACTATATTTCAAATAATGAATATGAAAGCATTCTACCCAACATCTGCAAAACACGTACTTTCATTAGCATTGAACTTCCTATAATAATATTGCATTGAACTTCTCCCAAAAAGTCTTAATAAATTTTTAGAAATCAAAATAGTATTCTGTGTCTTCTCTGATCACGATGGGATGAAATGAAATTGAGAAAAAAATTCAGTAAATTTACAAAGGAAGGAAGAGATGACAGGAAGAAAGAAGACAGGTTTCAAATAAATGATGCATTTAGGAAGGGGAAGAAGAAAGTCAGGCCGGGCGCCAGTGGCTCATGCCTATAATCCTAGCTATCCAGGAAGCTGAAATCTGAGGATCAAGGTTCAAAGCCAGTCCCAGCAGCAAAGTCCGTGAGACTCTTATCGCCAATAAACCACCAGAAAACTGGAAGTGTTGCTGTGGCTCAAGTGGTAGAGTGCTGAGGGACAGTGCCCAGGTCCAGAGTTCAAGCTCCATGACCGACCAAAAGAAAAAAAAAGGGGGAGGGGTGGAGCTGGGAAGGTGGCTCAGTGATAGAGTGCTTGCCTTGCATGCATGAGGCCCTGGGTTTGTTTCCTCAGCACCACATAAGCAGAAAAAGCCAGAAGTGGGGCTGTGGCTCAAGTGGTAGAGCACTAATCTTGAGCGGAAGAGCTGAGGGTCAGTGCCCAGGCCCAGAGTTCAGGCCCATGACCCACCAGAAAAAAAAAAAAAGGGCAGGCAAGACAAACTTCAAACCCTCAGCTCTTCAGCTCAAGGCTATCGCTCTGCCACTTGAGCCACAGTACCACTTCCAGCTTTTTCTGCTTATGTGTTGCTGAGGAATTGAACCCAGGGCCTCATGCATGCAAGACAAGCACTCTTCCACTGAGCTACCTTCCCAGTCCCTCAAATAAATGTTATATCTCATGGACTTAGGAAGAACAAACAACCCAAAATTAGAAAGGAAGAAATAATAAAGAACTGAGTAGAAATAAATAGAATCTAAAAATAAGGTTTGGGAATTTCGCTCTGTGGAAGAGCAAGTATAAGGTCCTGATCCTCAGCTCTTAAAAAGCTAAAAATATAAACAACCAATGAAATAAAAGCTGGTTCATCTCAGTTTTTTTGTTGTTGTTGACGGGATCCTGGCCTGGATCCTGTCCCCAGCTCTTTTGCTCACGGCTGTCACTCTATCACTTTGGAGCCTTGGCTCTACTTCTAGTTTTTTGGTGGTTAATTGGAGCTAAGAGTCTCTCAGAAGGCCGGCCTGCCTTTGAACCTTGATCCTCAGATCTCAGCTTCCTGGGTAGCTAGGATTAAGGCATGAGCTACTTGTGCCCAGCTTTCAATTTATATTTGTTTTGTGACTTGAGCTCAGGCCTTGCTTTTGCTTAGCTTGTAGGTGTGTGCCGTCCTGGGGCTTGAAGTCAAGGTCTTGGCACTGTCCTTGAGCTTTTGTGCTTAAGGCTCGTGATCTACCACTTGAGCCACAGCTCTGCTTCCAGCTTTTTTGGTATTTAATTGGAGATGAGCATCTTACAGACTTTCCTGCCCAGGCTGGCTTTGAACCTTGATCCTAAGATCTCAGCCTCTCGAGTAGCTAGGATTATAGGTGTGAGTCATTGGCCCTACTTTTTTTTTTTTTTTTTTTGCTGGTGTGGGGCCTGAACTCTGGGCCTGGGCGCTGTCCCTCAGCTCTTCAGCTCAAGATGAGCTCTCTACCACTTGAGTCACAGTGCCACTCTGGCTCTTTCTGCTTATGTGGTGCTGAGGAATTGAATCCAGGGCGTCATGCATGCAAGGCAAGCTCTCTACCACTGAGCCACCTTCCCAGCTCCTATTTTTTTTTAATTGGTCAAACAGTCATGGGACTTGAACTCTGGGCCTAGGAGTAGTCCCTCAGCTCAAGGCTAGCGCTCTACCACTTGAGCCACAGCACCACTTCGGTTTTCTGGTGGTTTATTGGAGATAAGAGTCTCACCTTGAATCACCACCTTGAATCAAAGACTAAGTCCAGAATCACTCAAATACACAATTGTTAGAGAAGCCTAGAGTGGAACTCTTCTTATAGACTCAACAATCAATGCTTTTTTTTTTTTGGTCTGATTGTGGGACCTGAACTCTGGGCCTGGGTTCTGTCCCTCAGCTCTTTAGCTTAAGGCTAGCGTTCTACCACTTAAGCCACAGTGGCATTTCTGGCTTTTTCTGCTTATGTGCTACTGCTTATGAGGAATTGAACCCAGGACCTCATGCATGCAAAGCAAGAACTCTGCCACTGAGCCACCTTCCCAGCCCAATCTATGCTTTCTTGCATAGATTAGTATATCCAACTTATTTTCATTATCAACTTTATATTTATTCATACTATTCAGACTATAGAAAAATAATTGAAATTATATCAGTGACAAAAGAACAGGGTTAAGGCAAATATAACTTTTTTGTTGTTGTTGGTGGTGGTGGTGGTAGGGCTTGAACTCTGGGCCTGAGCACTGTCCCTCAGCTCTTCAGCTCAAGGCTAGCGCTCTACCACTTGAGCCACAGCTCCACTTCCGGCTTTTTTCTTTTTGCTTATATGGTGCTGAGGAATTGAACCCAGGACCTCAGGCATGCAAGGCAAGCGCTCTACCACTGAGCCACCTTCCCAGCCCCCCCAGGCAGGCTGGCTTTGAACCACGATCCTCAGATCTCAGCCTCCTGAGTAGCTAGGATTACAGGTGTGAGCCACTGGTGCCGGGCTAAATATAACATTTTATCATCAATATTAAAAAAATCATAAAAGCAGCTAAGCTTTATTATTCTCTCAAGGAAAGCTTGTAAGAAAAGAATGTATACACCGCATATTACCACTTCCAGTTGTAAAGAAATGAGGTCGTCAGGAAAAATCAACACATAGTCTCTGTTGTAAAGAGTATCAGTAGGCATTATTTTGTAGGCATTCTATTTGT